TGAGTCCTTGGACCCTTAGGGATTATCTGGGATTGGCTATCGAGGCTCATGTACGGCTTAATTTTTGGCTCTTGTGATATGTTGCATTCTCCAGTTTTTTAATGTATACTACTGCGCTTCGTTCCAGGTTGGTAGTTGGTAGTATATGCTTTGGCCACAAATAATACGCTGTAAGCCCTAGCCCGACATGCTAGGTGTGGCCCTTTAGGTCACATTATTTTTTGGTTAAATGCCCCCACACCCCCTATCCCAGGGCCCAGGACCTCCCGGGGCTTCCAGGCCCTCGGAGCCTCCCAAGGCCTCCCAGGGCCTTCCGGGGGGGGGCTTCCAGGGGCCGGCTAAAGAGGGCCCATGGACCCCCAACCTTTGATTCATAAATGCCCCCACACCCCCTATTTCAGGGCGCAGGACCTCCCGAGGCTTCCAGTCCATAATGTGGCGAAGCCTTTGAATGTTCAAGGTTCTAAGGTTAGAAGTATGGGCCCCTAACATGGGCCCTTAGGCCTTGTAGGGGGATTCTTGTGACCCTTAAGGGTACATACACATTGGGTGTATTATATATACATGGATCCCAGGGTTAAGGGCCCATACTAGGGCCCCATGGTTTCAACCTTTGACCGTTTGCTGTTTGTAGCTGCTCAGGCATCTACACTCCAAGCCCTGTTCTAGAAGCACTTGAACCTACAAACCCTGGTTTATGGTTTAGGGCAAGCGCCAAACCCCTAGCCCTGCACCCTATGCTACGTTCCAAACTGCATCATAATGCCATATTAGCAAAGCCCCCACCCACCCCAATCACACTGACATGCCCCAGATTTCCTAGCCCCAGACCCCCAACCCTAAACCCTCCCTTAACCCCAAACCCCTTAACCCACTGAACTGCTACAGAGGCTTTGGCTTTGCAGCTGGCGATCGCTTCGGCGCCCAGCGGGCAAAATGTGGCAGTGGAGGCTCTCTGCTGCCTGAGAGGTTATGGGTTTAGGGATGTACGAGTTCAGAGATTTCGGGTTTGGGGGTTAAGGGCTTACGTACTTAGGTTCAGGGGTTGAGGGTTGTGTACTTGAAATTTCATGGGACTTAGTACATGCCATGACCGAATCGCGTCGATGGACATTGATCTATCGTTTCGATTTCCAGCGATCTGCGGCGACCCTCCGATTTCCCAGCTCCCAACCTCCCACCCTCGCACCTCCCGAAGGTGGGAGGGCGGGAGGTGGGAGGGCTGGGAGGGAAGTGGAAGGTGAGAGAGGGCGACTCCAAGAGCTCAGAGGCGGTGTTTGGGCATTCTCGACTCGGTGCTGCGCACATGTGAGCCATAGGGGTACCTGAGGAGCGGCCTTACCCCAAAGCCCCCCCCCAACCCCAAGGGATAGGTCCAATTCATGATTTTCATGTTGCATGTTTTTGCCGCCAAGATTGTCTATGCCGACCTCGAGCCCAGCAAGAGAAAGCCAGAAGGCAAGACTCGCAAGACCAAAGGAACAGGAAAGGAAGAGAAAGTTAAAGTTAAGGGCAACAGCAAGGCCAGAACCGATTGCGCGCAGATGTCGCTTCTGTGCTGCGCACATGTGAGGCATGTTTGCATAGCTTTCCAAACCAGGATGGCTCTCTGCCCTCTCTGCTGAGCTCCAGCAACAATGGGGCGCAGAAGGTTGCTATAACCCGCAGAGGCAGTATCAGCGATCTCAGCACTATTGACGGTGGCACAGGGAATGCCAATGGCAAGCCCTGCCAGTTTGTCTGCGACTCTGAGTCCTCTTCATATATCTTGGCCGCATCCGTCATGGAATCATAGGTCATAGGTTTGGACTTCTACGGATGTCCCAGGCTTGAGCAGCTTGCAGTAGCTTGTGGTCTGCGCTTTGCCGAAGAGCCCACTGCCCTAACCATGCTAGCCGAGGATGCTTCCCGCCACCAGCGCACAGGCTCCATACTTGTCAACCCGATGGGACGGAGGGATGGGCCAGAAAGACCACGGAAGCTTGTGAGTTTTTTTGATGTGGTAGAGCAGCGAGACATCAGCCCTGAACTACGGTCAGAATCTCCGATTGATGCTATGGCCCGCGCAAGAACCGTCTGCGATCTCAGCACTGTTGACGGTGAGTTTGCCTGCGACTCTGAGATCTGGAATCCTCTTCATGCATCCTGGCTGCATCCATCATAGGTCATGGTTTCGGCAGACATGGAGAGGAAGTTTCATAAGTTATCCCATGCGACTACGTGTGTGTTAGTAGTTGTGGGCATTTAGTATCTTCTTATAACCGGGCTTATAACACTAACTATCATTTAAAATTTGGGTATCTGACAGAAGTCCAGTTAGGGGGATGACACATAGGATTACAAGCCCAGTTACAAGCAGGTACTAAGTCCAATAAACCGTCAAGTAGGGTCACGTGAAAGTCGCCTATAGGGATTCTGTGTGTATAGGGCGTAATGGACAAGAGAACGGAATCCCATATTATCAGGGAGTACCCTGAATCCTATAATCTTTCTTATGCTAGACGGGATTATGTAGAACCCTAAAGCCTAGACCACTCCGTAGCGGTTAGTAGCAGTTAATATAGGGAGGAGACAATCCATGGGCTCGCTTGGATTGGCCTATGCTTGTAGGAACATTTACGGTGTAACCGTAAGGTTTAGGGACTACCGAGTCTAGCGTTTGGGGGTTTGGGTGCTTTGGGGGTGCAGCAGGGGTTTTGCATGTTAGAGATAACGTAGAGTCCTGCATATGATGTCCGCGTGGCACAAGATTTGCGTCTCAAGCTTTCTTCGTGCAAGGGACTTTGTCACAGGCCATGGTCGTCGCTGTGCGCCTTGGACCGCTAGCCCTCCCGGTGGTAGGGTGGGGTTGGTGGGCGTACCGCCCTGATAGGTAAGGATGTGCGGGCGAATGCTATGTTAATCTTACTTCCCTTGGTTCTTCTCTTTTGGTGGTGGACAAAAGGGACTACCTCCCTCCCCTCCTCCCCCGCCGCTATCCGGGTCCCCGAGTGGGCCCGGGCCAGCCGATTCTGGCGAGGAGATTCGTTGGAGGGTGGAGCGCTTCATTCCTAGTTGAATGGGCTGTGAGAAGGGCGTTTTCTACTCGCTTTCAACCAGGACAAGCTGCCACTGGTGATGCCTGGGCCAGCTATCTCATTGATATCTGGTTTGTGGATGTTTGGTGACTTCAGGCCGTTCGTGGCCTGGCGAACACTGGCGTGATTACTCTGGTTGCTCTGGTGGGACTTGCCTGGTCCCTTGGGACTTTGCGCCCAATCCTTTCGTGTTGCTGCCCGCGCCGAGCGGGTAGATCAAACGAGGGAGTGGGCGCTCCGCCTGGGCCAGACGCACCCCGTGTGGCCGTGGATCTCCCCTCACTCGAATTGGCGAAAGGCTTCGTGGCATTGGAGCTTACAGGCCCTGATGGCCCTCGCGCTGTGGACAAAGAGTATTACTTGCGGAAAACTCGCGGCCGCGGAGTGGGCGTGAACCTAGCGACGTGTTGGTCAAACTTGCCCAAAGAGCCGCTCGATTGCAGCCCACCTGGGAAGGCAGTTCTAGAACTGACCGCACCGGCTTACTGATTCAGTATAGTCGAGTGCTTGGCGTCATTGACACTAGGCATTTCATGGCATTTCTATGCTCTGACCTTGTTGAGCTTTACGAGGACCAATTGCGGCTGCAAGGCGCCCATCCTGAGCACGACATCACCGACCCCGCCGTTGCCGATCGATCGTCTTCGCGCTATGGCAAAGGCCGCACCGGCCCCGATGGTCCCCAACATCTGGCAGTTAGGGTCGCCCTGCGACTTCCAGCTGCTCAACGGGGGCACCCGGACGTTTGCAGCCCCGGAAGAAAATTGGAGTCGTGATGATGAGCTCCTGGGCGACTTCTCTGCCGAGCTGTGTGAGACTCTCTTTCAACATGGTCGCGAGTTTGCCTTCGAGAGCAGCGCCAGCCGCTGCCTCAAAATTGGGGACCTCCCCAGCCTTCGGCGTCTCCGTTGGGTCACTGGCGCCCGCATTGTCGCCATGGACATGCACGTGTGGTACCTCGAGGTTGAGGAAGGCACGCCCGGTCAAGACCACTGCAGGCGCACTTGGTGGTTGGTCTCTCCGGGTATCCATGGGCACGTCTGTTTCTTGCACGCAAGTGCCCTGGCGTCAGCGCCACACGTGCACGTTGGCCTTACAAGGGCTATAAGTTGCTGGGGTACCGCGTACTCGTGTTGCCCAGCTAATACAGTGTTGCACTCTGTGCTGCGTGGGGCCTAGCTGTTCGGGCCGCCTATGGCATTTGGGACTTGCGCCATGCTCTGGCCGGGCAGGACGCACGCTGCGCCTTGCCTGGACTCGTGTCACCCGCGCTGTCTGACATGGCCGCTTCGGCCCTGGAACCCAATCCCGACCTAGTTGCAGGTGACGCGGACACGGTGGCTGGGGTTTGCAGGCCAAACAACCCGGTGGCAGCGCTCGCGAAGCAGTACCTGGAGGCGCAGAAAGGATTATTCCCGGGACTCATTGAAGGAAGCCGTTGCACTGGGCTCTCGGTTACTTCGCCTCTCTGGTTCAGTTGAGAAGGCAGCGAAGGCTGTGAACCAAGAACGCTTAATCGTTTCTGGGAATCACTTGGCCTTTACGGAGGGCGGCCACGTGCAGGGGATCACAAATCTGCATCGCGCCTATCTTTTGGAAATGGCCCAAGACGGAGTTCCTAGCAGGAGAGAGGCTGTTCCAGCCCGTGAATCGGCGAAAAATCACGGGTCTGTTCGTGGCCACGAGGAGGAGCTCATGCAGAAAGCGTGGAAGGACGCCGCGTACGGAGCGGTATCATGGTGGACCCCGAGTATCCCTTGGTGGAAGGGGTGCTCTCAAGTTCAGGGGTGGCTGAGTCTCCACTGGGCACAGTTCCGAAACAGAACCCAGACCGCACTATCTCCTCCGAAGGTCGACCTTTCAACGACATGCGGCAGGCAGAACGAGCAAGGCTCCAAGTTCAATCACCCGCCGCCCCCCCAGCCCCGCATCCTAGAGTCGCACGTCAAGCACTATGCTGGAAGGCCTGGCATCCAGGTATCCCTCTCCGTTGTGTAGAGAGGGGCGTCCCTTGAGCCTTCATATGGCATTTTCTTTGGCCCAAGGATGTCCCCGAGTTTGCGGTCCGCATGATGGGCATTGTCATCACTAGCCTCGTGATGCCCTTCGGTTGGGTGGGAGCACCGGGAGAGTTCGTGGCGTGGAGCGCTGCCGCCAAGGTGAGCCGCGGGAGTTTTCACCCCCCGGACCCGTGGCTCAATGATACCGTTAGCTATGATTCCAAAGGGTTAGTGGACGACGGAGTAGCGCTTGAGCCCTTGGTTGGAAATCGCGTCTTCCATTCTCTCGCTTGTCTTGATCTTACGATGATAGCCATATGGGGCGCGAAGGGGTCAATGTCGCTAAGATGGCCGAGGAAGGAGAACCGGCCGGCACTCCGCTCCTGTGGCGTCTCTACAGACATGAATTTCGACCAGCAGCTAATTAGGGTTGAAGGGCGCAAAAGAATGATGGGTAAACATTTACTTGCAGCGCGGTCAGCGTGACGTGCCCCTCAGGCTACCACAGGAGGTTGCCGGTTGCGCCCAGTACTGGTCGATAGTCTGCCCCGAACTCGCTTCTGAATTTCGGGAAACTGTAGCGAACGTAACGGAGCTCACCCTTGATTGAGGACAGTAATGAGGATATTATGTAGAAGGCGACTTTGGTTTAGGTACTTGGATTTAGGATTTAGATTTTAGCGGGCCGGGGTTCAGAATTATTGTTCATGACCGAAGAGTCCAAATACTCAAAAAGAAGTAGGTACTCGGGTTTTGGGTAATAGTAATGATGGTACAAGTTTTCGGGAAGTATATTAGATATTTGGACCCTTCGGGCATCCTAAACCCGAAGCCCTAGACCCTAAAACTGTGTCTACGCGTGCAAGGCAGCGTGTGTCTGGCCAGCGCAGTAAAGGCTCCTATAGGTGATGGGCCATATCATCGCAGTCTTCCGTGAGGACTGCAGCTGATGATTTCGGGCTGACCCTACATGTGCAAAGGTTCCGGATATCTGTATAGTCATACAGCTAGGCCCCGAAGTAGCTATGTAGGAGCCACGCATATCGCTAAACCCTATAAGCCGTGAGTATGTATATAGGCACTTGGACGGTCAGGAGGTAGCAAGTATACTTAACCCTCAACTCTACGCCCCCTGCAAGACCAAAAACCATGGGTCACTTTCGGGGGCCTTCCTGATGAAGATTTCGGTATTTTGGGGTTCCTATTGGGCCCTCTTTTGATAGACATTAGCATGGTCACCTTAGCTGGCAACCGAAACCCTAAACCGAAAGCCTAAACTCTAAACTGTGTGTACCCGCTTTAAACCCTGAACAAATCCTAAACTCTAAAACCTAACTCTAAGCCCCGTACATGATAGGTTCTTTGGACCTCATCAACGCGGAAACAACAAGCTGCACCGGCTGCGCAAACTCGCCCCCAATCTGAACCAAGACTATCTCTCGGTTTAGGGTTAGTCTAGGGCTCCATTTTTGCAAAGAATACGTACACTGGGTCCCAACGTCTATGAGTATGACCTCCATTGGGGTATTTGGAGCATTAGGGTTGGGTGGTTACATAGGATAACGGAAAATAGAATGGAAGCTAGCATTTAGCGTTCAGAGTTTAGGGTTTGGGGTTTAGGCGTATCTCCGGGCAAATCATAATGACCTCATCCGAACTCACCCCATGATGGTGTTTTTTGTAGAAAGTACCCCTTTAAGTAGATGGAATATAGGGTTTAGGGTTAGAGTCCCCCTTAAGTAGATAGAATATAGGGTGAATGGAGATCTTCCCAAAGCCATATTCTATCTAATTAAGGGGTCTGTAGACCCTAAATCCTAAACCCATTGTAGTAGTGTCCATTCTGTTTTCCATTATCCCTATGTACCCCGTATATAACCCCTATATTCCATCTACTTGAAGGGATTATTATAGACCCTATACCCTAAAGAGTCCCAGCGACCCGAGTTGGCTCGCCAGGTACTCACATTACTTTTAATTGAACATGACCGTTTGCCTTAGACTCAGCCCCAAAGAGCATCTACAATTTAAAGGGGTTCATACAAGGTTTAGGGCTTAGGGTTTAGGGTCTAGACACTCAACCCCAAACCCAAAGAGCTCCACCAAGAGCTCCAAAAGCTGAACGTTTTTATCTAGGTCGTAGCTAGGGTTGAGGGTAGCAGGACACGCAGTACAATCTTGTAATCGAAAACCCTAAGCCCTAAGCCCCACACCCGAAAACCCCCCCTGGATTAGGTTCTGCTCTGTGCTTCCTATAAAGACGTGCAACACCTTAGGCCCAAAGTACGAGACAATTAGGCGAACATAAACGATAATTATGGGCTACTTGTTTCCTAGGTAGGGTTTACATGGCTTGTAGGGGCTTACGTACTGGGTTGCTAAGAAACTTAAGATCTAAGTTACTGTATTCGAGATACTCTATGAGTTACGTATTATATGCACCACTAAGTAGACCCATTAGGGTAACTAAATTCGAGTTCCTTAACAGCAACCCAAGCCTTCAGGTAAAAAGGGATGTATAGGGTACATGGGGATCTGGGTTTACGGTTTAGGGTTTGGAGTTTAGGGTTTATGAGTTTAGGGTTTAGGGTTTATGAGTTTAGGGTTTAGGGTTCAGGACTTAGAAGGTCGGGAAGGATACATAGGGTTTCGGATTTAGGGGCAAAACCATGGGGACAAGGTCTTTGTTAGAGCTTTCGCGATTTCTGTGTGTTTCTAAACAATGCCTTGTGGAATTCGGGTAAGAATCTAAGCCCAAAACCCTCAAGTATTAGGGCATCATGGAGACTTAGCAAGGGTTAGTCATAAGGATGACTGGGGTCATTATATAGCTTTGGGGGGTTCAAAGTCTACTGGGTGTAGCGGTTTAGTGTTTAAGGGTTCAGGATTTAGGTGCATAGGGGTTATAAGTTTACCCACTAGATCCTCCTGACCCTCTACCCCTGTTTTGAGAAACCTGCGTTTGAGGGATACCGTATGGATTACCTTGCTTGAATGCCTTACCTCCTGCGTTTGCAGGTTCCCATAGGGCCCTGAATCAGGGTTTTAGGGTTTTAGGGTTTTGTGGTTTGGGTTTAGCGGGTAGGCTGCAGGGGGCTTTCCTTTGCACCCTTTGGGTTTGCACCATTGGGTTTGGATTTTCTACAACATGGACTACAGCCTCAACTAGGGTGTTTGGCACCCAAACCCCAAGGTTACAGACCTTAAGTATATGAGAAGCTTCTCTAATACAGGAGTTTCAGCTACTCCAATCCCAATCGTAGGACCCCATGACTATCATATGCAACTAAGCCCTAAATCCTAAACCCTCAGCCCTAAACCTTAAATCCTAAACCCCTGAACCCTCAATCCCAAGCCCTAAGTCCGGAACCCTAAATCCAAAACCCCATATCCTAAACCCAAAATCCTAAACCCCTAGAGCTTAAATCCTAAACCCTTATAAACCCTTAAAACTATGTTGGACCTTCAAGAAGTCCCCCAAACCCCAAAGCCTAAACCCCAAACCCTGAACCCTAAAGCTTGGATACTGCCCGCCCTCAGTAACAATTGGATAATTATCATAATATGGTTATATATAGCCCTTAATAGGACCCCTAATATAGACTGTTACTGGGTGGTGGCGGTACCCAACCTAAAGCTTAGGTCCCAACCTGCAGTTTTCGGCGATGAAGCGACTCTACGGTCGGACCCTCGTACTTTGGGTGGAGGTACATGGGGAGGGTATAGGTGGACATGTGGGGATTAGACTTTAGGGTTTAGGCTTCAGGGTTTAGGTTTTCAGGTTTAGGTATATGGGAGGGTATGAGTATCTAAACTCCTTAAATGGGGTTATATAGGGATGATATAGGGGACTAAATTATAGGGGTTCAAAAGGGGGAATGTATATGATGGGGTTTAGGGTTCAGGGATTTAGGGTTCAGGCTTTGGCGTTTAGGGTTGGGGCTTTAGGGATTTACGCTCTAGGGTTTATAGGCTTTAAGGTTTAGGGTGTAGGCTTTTGGTGTAGGGTTATTGAGGGTTAAGGGTTTAAGGTTTTAGGGCTGAGGTTGGATGACACGGTCATAGATAGGGATATGATATGCAGGGTTTTGGGTTTCCCAAGACTAAGGGTAGGTTTCAAAAATGAGTGTCCCCGCAAAGGGGATTTTTCTTTTCTTACGCAGGAATATACAGGATTTAGGGATTGGGCGTCGGTGGTTAGGTGGAGGACATCTCTCTGTAGTTTCCTTAAAGTTTTCATTTTTGTTCTGGTATAACCCAAAGGAATGATCAAGCAGGATGTTGCTGCTATGGGTCTAGGGGATTGCAGAGATTTCCCCGCGATACATGCATATTGGGGAGGACTGGATTGAGGAATGCCGAGCTGTTAGAGGGCTGCTTTAATAGGATTTAGGAGGGTTCAGGGTTTGGGGTTTTGGGATATAACCTGTATATAATCCCTGTATAATCCCTACTTAACCTCTATCTAACCTTCATATACCCCCTGTAAGGGGAGATTGCGCTTCTAAATCTATGGCGTGGTGGTAGTGTACTAGATTATCCTGATTCCCAATACTTCGGCTCATGCAGGATGCTCTAGGACTGGGCTAGTTAAAGCGACCTCACCCTACCTCGCCCTAGATGGTGGTTTATAGAGGAAATAGTACCAACATGGCCTTAAATTGGAAATTGAAATTATTGAACAGTACCCGGTTAGTATCAACCGCACCAATTCAGTCCAAAAGGCATGTACACAAAACACAGGAGTGTTTCATGGATCATGTTGCCAATCGCTTAGAAGACACCGCGAAGAGAAAAACAGTGAATGTCCACCTCTTAGCTCTTGCCTTATAACTGCGCAGCTATTCTCCCAGACCCTTAACCCTAAACCCTGAACCCTTAACCCTTAAACCTTAACCCTAAACCCTGAACCCCGAACCCTTACCCTTAACCCTAAACCCTAAACCCTGAACTTCCAACCCTTACCCTTACAGATTCATGATTTTGGAGGTGCCTTTGTTGGTTAATTCTCAGAGGGCTTTACTGTCGAAGTCGGAAGAGCAGCCAGTGTTCGGGGCCTTTTAGACTGTGTGTAGGGATTATGTTTGTATAGGAGTCATATGGGGATTATACAGGGGTCATATAGGGGTTATATAGGATTACATAGCGATTATATCAGTAGGGGTTATGTAGGGATTATATGGGGTCTGTATAGAGGTGCTAGAGGGATTACTTAGGGATTGCAGAGGGTGTACAGGGATAAC